GAAGGCATATTCACCAATCAACTTTGCTTTTCTATTGCGCCAAATCATTGCAGATTCAGCAGCAATAAGCATATAGGTGAGATCTATAAGGGTCACGTCGTAGCTCATCATATAGTACTCTCTTACGAACTTACTATATGAGTTAGGAAGTGGCTGAAGAACCCAATCAACAGCCATTTCCTCACAGACAACAGATCCCAACAGTGTGACTTCATCCCTAAGACGTGTGCACACACCGCCTTGCCCTCTTTATGTTTACTTGCCAAAAGGGCTTGAGTGGTATTGAACCTTTCAATTTTACAATCTTGTGGGTTAGGGAGAATAATTGGAGGAGGAGGAGGAAGTGAAGCATGATTTCTTGTTCCTCGATCGAATCATGGAATATCATCTTCATGTGGAATGCTTGTTCCACGGGATTTGAGAAGACCATAGTTGTCGAACTTTGACATCGGGAGAAAAACGAATTCAAGTTAATTGATTGATTGAGTCCTTGGTAAATCACCCAAATGAAATTCCAAGGCTAGGACCCAACACAATATTCTACAACTCGGGAGAGGGATGCCGTAACCCAAATTGAAGAACATTTGAAGGTAAGTGAATGACGATTCACTAATTTCCACCATGAAAAACGAAAAATAATTTTAAGTTTTAAATCTATGAAAACTCCTAGATCCTTTGAGATTCATTGAATATTTCAATGGCATGTTTAAATCTCGATATGCCCCTCTTGTTTATGATTGGGATGCCGAGGATCACAAAGCGGGTGTGAATAACCATGCAAACTACATGGTGCCCTCACATGTTACAATCACCTATTCGATGTGCCGGTAAACCACACACGCTCCACCGAACTATGACAAACATTGAGTCACCATTTGCTACCTTTGCTTAGAACCATTTAGTGTGCCGGTAAACCACACACGCTCCACTAACGTCTTCACAAGGGCACAAAGTGTAATTTCATGGAATTGCATCAATTCACTTTTACCTAAGTAACTAAGATTGGGAATTTGAAAAACATTTAGTTACTTTGTATTTCATTATACTTATAATGGAAGGTTTCGTCATATCCTACCCGTTCGGCTAACGACCCTCCACTAGTCAAGAGTGCGGTGGGTAAGAGTGGATACCCATTCAATCGCCATTTTATAGGCAATTTCCTTAAACACCTCTTATAGACCAGCTTCGTGAATGAGGCCTACTAACGGTAAGACTGACTTTTACTCATACATATATATAATGTTATACTTTTAATGTTATATATAGTATAGGGTGTATTTTATACTTTTAAAATACTATATGGTTAACTTTAACAATTACACTTTTAATTCAATTAAATGGTTAACCTAAACTTTTATGGATTTATTAAACCTCTTTTAATTATACTCCTTAATTAATTAATAAAACCATAAGGGTGTGATTTGAACTTTTCAAAACATTACTAGGGTTTTAGAATTTAATATTCCTAATTAAACTTTTAATCAACTTTTAAATTCCAAAACTTGAGGGCAAGTTTTGAAACATTTCAAAACATTAGGGTTTAGAATTTAAATATACATCAAAATTAAACTATTTAATTAAAATTTAAATTCCAAAACTTGAGGGCAAGTTTTGAACCTTTTTCAAAACATTAGGGTTTCAACTATTTAAATTTCAAAACAACAAAACTTTTGGGTTCAAATTTACACTATAAAACCTAAAGGGCAAAATATGAAATTTTTCATTACAACAAGGCTCAAATAAAAAATAATTCAAATTAACATTTAATCACATAATTATCCATATTTGATTTATTTAATGATTTCTTGCAAAACAATTTATCAATTTACTCAAAATAATTAATCAATTATCTTATAAGGAAACAATTATCTTATTAATTGATAATTATCTTTAATTAGATCAAGAATATAGTCATATATATCATAAAATCGGATTTATATTGATCTAACATGATAAGGTAACTATCCATATGCAAAAATAGCAAGAAATCCTGAGATAAGCATTATCTGACGAGTTGACTCGTCGAGTCAGGCATGTACTCGTCGAGTCTGCATGGACTCGGTGAGTCCAGCCTCCAGAATCCAAAAAAAAAAACGAATTTTCCAGTTATACAATGCATTAATACAATTGAAACCAAGCTAGGCTCTGATACCACTGATGGGTTTTGGTCATAAGACATCCTATGTGCTCATACAAACCCTAATGCTTGGATCTATGTTTCTCTATTGTACATGCTTTGAATCCAAGACTATAAACCCTAATTCTAGCATACAAGTAATCATATTAATATGTAATTAGGTTTAAGATCATACCTTGATTGTTATGTAGCAATAACAATCCCAATTCCTCCTTGAATTGACTTTGGAAGGCTTAGAGTCACAAGTGTCACTCCTCTAATGGTTCACAAACACCATAAGCAAGAGGATGAAGAGGAGAGAGGTTGGAGGCTGCCAAAAACGTGTGTAGACCCTTACAAGAAGCTTAGCCCCGTTTTTGATCCTTAAGGGGTCTTTATATAGTTGGGCTATTAGGGTTATTTAACAAGGAAACCCTAATTTGGATGCTTAAGCCCTAAGCAACCCATAGACTCCTTTTATCAAGCCCATGGACAATTTCCGTATGGGTTTCCCATTAGAATTCGTCCATCCCTTAATACAAGGCAATCCATGGCCCAAATTTCAATTATCTTATAATTACAATTCCAGTCCCTTAAGTTTAATTAATCTCTTTTAGTCACAAAACTAATTAGCAATTAATTATTGACTAATATTAATTAAACAATATGATTTCTCCTTTAATATATTATTCCCATAATATATTAATAAATCATATTTAATCATTTCTCTCCATAATTCATCCTATCAAGTTGCTTCGGTGAAGGCAACCCAAAAGGACCATGCACCATCGGGTCGGGTCAAGTACATACCAAAATAGTTATGGACTTAGACACTAATCCAACATGGACATGGGCAGAGCTTTATTAGAGCCAAGGGGGGCTGTGCCCCCCCCCCCCCTCTGATTTTTTTGTTACATATAGCCCCCTATACTTTCATTTAATACATACTAGACCAAAAAATAAAATTTTTTGACGGTGGCCTCCCCTATTCTCTGATTTTTATACATATTATATTTTCGCCCCCCCCCCCCCTCCAAATAATATGTTGAAGCTCCGCCCATGTGCATGAAGCCAATCTAGGATTAAAGTCATTATGGATTCGGGGTTGATATGGATACGGGGGATGATACAGACCCAATACAACTATTTGTTGTTTCATGGGGTTGATATGGACTTGGGGGTTGTTACGGAACTGACACAACTACATGTTGTTATACTTATATGTATGGTGTATGTGATATTTTGGGGAACTCAATAATCTTTATGCTTACAAATATGTTTTTGGTTTCAGGTACTTTCGATACAAAACCAAAGGACCTGGCATGATGGCACAATTTTTTACCCTCATGATTTCCGCATTTATGTTTTCTTTTATTTGATATTTTGTGATAATTTGTATTTTGGATGATTTTAAGACATGTGATGTTTGGGATTGATGGACTTAAAAATGAAACTTTTACTTTTGAATTTTGGGACGTTACAAGTAAGCCACCATTTATTGTAAAATAAAATTATTTAATTTCAAAGTATCATATATCTATATAGTTAATGATCAATAAATGCATGTTGATTTGGTAATAAGAAATAACAATGTACTATGGCTTTTTTGTCCTTAGTCTAAAAATAACAATGTACTTTTGCATCAATAAATATATATTGATTTGGTAACTGGGTTTTTGTCCCAAGTGCAAGAAATAGAAATGTACTTTGGTATTTCTTGTATTTAAGGTTCTTTAATATAAAATAGGTGGAAATTAAGCTACCATTTATAGTAAAAAATGAATATTTAATTTCAAAGTAGCATATATCTATATAATGATTAATAAATGCATGTTGATTTGGTAATTGTATTTATGTTTCAAGTGCAAGAAATAGCAATGTACTTTAGTTTTTTGTACCTAGTCTAAAAATAAAAATGTACTTTGGCCACCAATAAATGCACGTTGATTTGGTAATTGTGTTTATGTCACAAGTGCAAGAAATAGCAATGTACTTTTGGTATTTCTTGTATTTAAGTGTAAAAAATAACAATGCACTTTGGTAGTTTTTGTTTATGTTCATAGTTTAACTTCTAATTTTATATATGTTTTTATTCATTATGTAGTTGAAAAATCTTCGTGCAATGTTCAACTACCCAACGTGTAGCGATGAGCTTTGTGAGTTTTTTCATTGGAAGAAACCACTAAGTGGTGATCAAGGAGGAATCGAAGGGAGCGAAGATGATGGTTTGTCGGAATAGTTTATTTTTTGTTAAGACTTGTTATTACATAACTTTATAACACTTTTGTTTTATTTTGGTATTTGTATGAAATTATAACATTTTGGTACTTAATTAGATGTTGTTTTGTATTTTTTTTTCATCTGATGTTTTTGTGTTTTCGACGACTAATGTCATTAGGTATCAGTTTTTCTGCACCCAAAAATGACTAGATTAAAAAAATGAGAATGACTATTACCGGCGACACATACTAATTACCAGTGACAACCTTTTAATTAGCGGCGATAACAGATCCTCCCAACGACTTCATTATTATCAACGCCATTTAGATCAACAGTGACGGGGTAGCAGCTACGACTCATTAGTGTTGACTTATCGTGGCTAATGTCTTTACCAGCGACTAATCTTACTTTTATTATTGATTTTTGTCTCAGCTAATAATTGTTTTTCTTAAAGTACATTCGTTTCTTTGAGTAAAAATATCAAACAAATACAAATACAATAATGCTTGGTACTAAAATTATATGGTAGAAATTTCTTCTAGCATTTTCAAACTTTGACGTGAATATGAAAATATGAAGTATATCGAAATATGAATTAAGATTATTTCATAAAATCACTTTTTGCAAAATGATTAGTTATTTTATAATAAATTAATTTGCAAGAGTCGTTACTTGGTCATGACACCTCCTCTTTTGGCCATATTTTTAAGTGATCATCCCTAAATAAATCAAAAGGTACCACATCACCTGCCCTTGCTCCAAAATTGGTCACATGAGTACTAATGAGTTGACCATTTTTTAAAGTGTTAACGAGGTGAGCCGACTCATGAAACCACGTACCCAAGCTGGTCAAAAAGGCTTGGCAAGACTGTATCATGAGCTCAAACCAATTTAAGCCAACTCATATTGATAATATTTCTCCCCGAATCATACACTCACGTATGCGAGAACTTAATGCAATGCAGCTGGTTGTACTACTTTCATAGAAGATGAGGGTTGAATCGATGAAAGGTGCAATTACTGAAACTTTTCCTAGGGTACAATATGGTTGGTGAACAAAATATAGTATCAATAAATATTGACATATTGTAATTATATGACTACTTTATTTCCTTTTTTTATTCTTGGTGTGGTCCTCTAAGATCTGATAATGAGTGTAGCTATAGCCATTGTTTTGAATTCTATATGCTAACGTTTTCTCAATAATTATTGAGTTTCAGTACGTATAACAAATCAAGCGTTTTTCTAGCTTCACGCGATCACAGTTAGAAACCAACTAGCTAATGTTTCCACTTTTAATATAGTTCTCGATCTGAGAGAAGTCAAGAGCTCTCTCCATTCCACTTGCAATGAGAAACCTAAAAAGAACAAAACTTTCTAAAATTAGTGATATGTGTAGATTAGGGTATTTGAGTACTTAAAGATACTAGACATACTTATCTAAGAAAACTCGAGCCATCAATAAACAACCACCAGGCACTGTCGACTGCATATTGATCGCTATATTCGGATTATGAATACTTTGTCTAATGTGTATCCATCCATATTGCCCGTCTTCTTCACTTGAAACCTTCGCCCTAAATATGTTTCAAGGTTAATAAATCAAGGACACATGCAATATGAGTTTCAAATTCTGGGAGTAGTATTTTTAGATGAAAAAGACCAAATTAATTCACATTTAGGTTATATTTGTTACATTACACATGTTTGGACTAGACTGGATAGACAAGACATAACTAGACGAGACTGAATTAGATGATGGTAGACATGTTTTTAGAACTATTTTTTTATGATGTCACGTCTTTTGCACAGGACTCGTAAGTCTCATTGGTATAAGTATCATTCCAGTCCAATCAATTATCAATGTCAAATGTAATACAAGACTCGTAATGTACTCTCCAATGTGACAAATTGTGGCCATATTTTGTGATATAGGAGTGCATTTATACCTGTACATTTGAGCATCAACGGGAGCAGGGTTGTCATTCGAATCAACAAGGCAACCATCACTCACCCAACAATCTCCACATGCATCGAGCTCCCATCCCACTAGCCTCCCCTCCTGTTGTTTACATTTTTATATATCAATTGATAATCATACATCGACAAACGTTTAAGACTTTAAGTTATGAATCTTTGTTGAAGAACGTACTTCTATATACGATTTGAAGGTCTCGATGATGAGAATGGCTTCAGCCTTCGCACGTTTAGACTCAGAAAGGATGTTCATTCTTAGTTCTACCGATTCTAATGGTTCTTCAAGATCTTTTATCAAACTTCCGATTCCTTCATCCGAACCCTCTAGTTTCATTCTCACCATTTCTATAATGATCTTTACCACCATATATGCACCTGTATATACACAACGCAATACATGAAATCATAATATCAAACAATAAAAAACGAATTAAAAGAACTAACCATCATCAAGAAAGTAATTTTCTTTAAGAGCTCCATGACCAGAGGTTTCCATCATAAGATGAGTATCAATACCATCTTCGTTAAGCTGAACACCCTTATCAATAACATTCCGATAACCCACACGATACAAACAGTGTTGACCACCTCGATGAGTGATGAACTTAGTCAAACCCAAACTGGTTCGAGCGTCAGTAACAATGGTGGAACCAGGATGCTCCTTTAAGACAATGGAAGCCATAAGTGCAATTAACTTGTCACCATTAATGGGGTTTCCATCTTTGTCAACAACACCACTCCGGTCAACATCTGTATCAAAAACGATGCCAAGATCCGCAGTGTTTTCTAGCACAGCGGTTCTTGTTACTGCCATTGCAACCTTGTCCTCGGGATTTGGGATGTGGTTAGGAAACATGCCGTCGGGTTTAAGGTTTAATGAGCCAAATGTGTCGGCACCTAACTTGTCTAATACTTGGTAGGTAAAGAATCCTCCCGATCCATTTCCAGCATTTACTATGATCTGTGGTTAACTAAAAATTTGTTTTAGCATATATGTAATGATAAACAAAGTAAATACAAATGCATGTTTGCGTTGTTTTCATTTGGTTTACTAGTCAAGATATTTAGAGGGTAATTATATACTAAAGTTTTTTGATATGATATGCAAAATAAATAACTAGGTATATCATATCTAAAAATTCAATCTTTTTTACGATCTTACTTAAATAGGATCTAAAAACTTATGTAATTTTTAATTAGAAAATTAGGCTGAGTGAAAAGCTAAGCTATTAATAAGGTTTTTGTAAAAACCAGAAGATAAGTTAAAATAATGATTGTGAAAAAGCAATAAAATAATATCCTTATCTCTAATAAAGAGATAAATAAATGTTTTTTTTTTCTCATTCAATTTGTCAAATGTTATTTTGTAATTATTTTGAATTAATTTTGTATACATGCTTTTTTATGAGTTTTCCTATTTTATTAAATTTCATATAATATTTTAATGTAATAGTTACAATAAATATAGTAATAAATGGATATCAATTTTATTAATAAATTTACCATTTAATTTCAAAATTTTTAAAATTAAAGCTTATTAGTTTTTTTTCTTTATTTAAATTATTTTTTTATCTTAAAAGATACAAAAAACGCTTTCATTATAAAAAAAAAAAATAATTCATTATTTTTCTTATTTTCTTATAAATTCAAAGTTTTCAAATAATTTGACTTTTATATTTAACTTTAGTTTTTTAAATTAACTCATATAATATATGAATATCATAATTAGTTTAGTTATATAACTAAAAACGGGTTTACAAATAAATTTGGCTAAGGAACTATTCCAAAATGTCTATAAAGCAACCATGGAAGTTGTCCTGAAAGAGTCTCTTAGATATTTAATTATTTTTAAAATTGTGTGTTTTACAACTTTTATGTACAATTTATTTCAAGATTTTTTTTAGATTTACTACATCTTTGTCTTTCTGGAAAAACGAATACGAAAATTACAATTTTGAATACATGAAAACGAATATGTAAAAAAACATAATTTATAAAAACAAAAAATCCTAATAAATCTTAAAAAACCGAATATCTAAGACAATAAGCTCAAAATAAATTAGTTTATGTGCTCTAAACCAACAACACTGTGATATGTGCTCTAATTTATAAAATAAAATATTGGTCTCAAAACATTAAACCAAGAAGTTTATATGCCATATACTATATCTTCGAAACCAACAACACTGTGATATGAGTGTGACAGTTAAGGTGTGTAATAAAAAACTTTTGCTGTTAAAACCAAGCACAAACACTTCTAAATTATTTTAATATTCTGCAATATACCATGGACTCTTGAACGGGTGTGGGCCATTCTTGTAGTAAGACTTACCATTTTTTTCATTTTCCCAACCAATAAAAAAAAAAAATATACTAACTTTAGACGTTAGTAGCTTTGGATAAAATTAGTTAAACTTCATTTAACTTGGAGGAAATTAATATAATTTCGATTTTATACTTTTCAAATTAGTATCTTTTTAAAAGTCATGTGATACTATATTTACGTTTTCTTTAAATTACTAGAACAAACTAAGTAAATTCAATGCTCACTACAATAAATTTATTAGTTCTGAATTTCAGAAAATCTAAAAATTGTAAACACTCGTCTTTTGGGCCCATCATCATCCATGCATTGATGCATGTGTATCCTTTAAAGGCCCATTATTTATGTTTTACGACTGAATGATTGATGATGTGGATTGAATGACTGATGATGTATAACATAATAGTACCCACCTGGTCCTTATGCCTATGGCCATTTGTGCTATTGCGTACACTCCATATTTTATAAAAAATCGTAATATGCATAAAGATAAATAATGCAAAATTTTAAACTAACAGGTTTAGTTTTACTAAAAAGTAGGGGAACTATCTAAATAGGAACTACACCTCATACCGACATTTCACATAAGTGGGGTATTGTGAAAAATTGATGGAACTTATTGTTAACGTTGCCAATTTTAAAAAATAAATTGTTATTAACTTTTATATAAAGACCGTGATTGATGTACTAGCTGATAGCTTATAAGTCAGTTATTAAAAATGTGTTTTTGGTAAAAAGTAACTGATAATCTAATTAAAAGTTATAAAATGATATAAAAAGATATTTAAAAAAATATGATTTTTATAATTAATTAAAGATATATTTGAAAAAAAAAAAAAACTCTTGAAAAGCTTGTCAAAATAGTATTTTAAAAAAATAACTTTTAAGCTATTTTTTATCTTTCTAAACATGACAATTTAAAAAAGAAATTCAAAAAATAAGTTAACTTAATAGTCAGCTATAGTTTCGAACATGCTTTCGAACATAACTTAAAATGAGTTTTCACCCATATAACATTTTTAAGTTACTCAAATAAACTTGTGCTTCAATATCAAAATAAAATGATAGAAACTTTTAAAAAAATTAATGTATAAGTTATTTTGGTATAAAAATTATCAAAGACAATGTGTCACAAGTATACGTCATATTAGCAAAAATAATTTTGTTAAAACAACCAACAACTTTAGATTTGAGATGTTGTAAACATCTCGACTGTAGTTTATGAGTAAGTGGTTAACTAGTTGAACTCAGTTGACATCTAGGTGCTTTGTCTTTACTTAGCCTATTAAGAAAGTTCGTAGGAGGTCAATGAATTTTAAAAACCTCAATTTACTTATTAATGGAGGAGGGACAAAGTAGATAGTGGGATAATGCTCAATTTTTTTAGAGGCCGATTTTTTATTATTATGTTATACTGTATATATATTTATTTAAAAATAAAAAACTTATAATGACGATAAAGACTTTTTATTTTCTTACTAGCCCAGAGCATTTGAGGATATCTAAACTATTAGAATCGGCCCTCGATATTAATCATATTACTTATTTTGCTATGATATTAGTAATATTATTTTTTCAAAATTAATTGTTCTACATTTAGGATCCCCTATTGGTTGTCGAAAAGAAATCGATGTCGATGATCTGCAAGATTTGACAATATCTAAATTGTTGCAATATCCTTTTGCAACAAAATGGTGTAATTTTCGTACATACCTTGCTCATTTCCGTTCCATTACGTTTTTAACATAGAAAATATTTTAATTATATAATTTTTTTTTCTAACTTAGATGCATTATAAATGATATCATCATATGTTTTAGGCTTTTAGCTTTTTATAGATTTGACTTGCATATATTTTACAAAAACCTTATAAACTATATTATACAACTATAATTAAATAAACTATTTGTATATAACATATGTAATTATGTTATTCTCTTTTATATTTTGAAGTTTCTAAATAAGGTGGATGCATAAAAGTTATCTTGAAGGAATACATTAATGTTATGTTAAGATGAAGTTCTCAATTTTCTCGATCCCGGACTAGATTAAATTGTAACTAAATGGTTTTAGACAAATATGTCAATTCTTAGATGAACAGATCATATCATTTTGCGAGAAGGAAATGAGAAAATAAAGTGTGGCGTCGTTGATCTCATGTTGAAGGGGATTGTTACGAGTAAGAATGTGAGATAATATATTTCACATCCTCTGGATCCATATTCCATATCACAAATATGTGGTCAAATATGAATCTATATTACGAATCCATGAGTCAAACTAATCCAAGGGTGGACCCATATTTCACTCTGAATCCATTTTACACTCTACGAATCCATATTTTAGAGTTTTATTTATTTTGATGTTGATTTTCTTTTTGTTTTGGTAAATTAATTTTCTGTTTATTTTTATTTAGTAAAATTAAAATTGATTATTTTTTATTAAAAAATAAAAATAAAAAGGTGATGAGTACAGAAAAACACCATTTTCTAAGTAAAAATTATAGTGGTGGTAGAGTATTTGAAATTACCTTATTGTTGTAAGACATGTGATAGGAATAACATATATGCAGTTTAGCCTCAAATTTTATATTTAATTAAAGTTAACAAACAAATAAAATACCCGAGTTAAACTATACACAATAATATTAGAAATAACATATATTAGAGTTCAAATATTATTAAATAGTTAAATAACGTAATAAACTGAAAATATATACGTAGATCAAATTGTAAACAGAAAACTTGAAGGACAAAGTATGTTTCAAAAGAATATCAAATATTAACAATAATTTTTTTTTTTTTTTAAAAGTTATAAAAATAGTGTATGTACTTTGATGTTGGGTTGGAGATGCTAAAAAAAGTTTTTGATTCATGATTTATGATATTATAAACAGAAACGTTTCTTGTGACTAGATATTTTACAAAATAAATCAGTTGTTTTAAGTTAAAATTATATAATTAACTTTGATAGTTAATTATACTCTTACATCGAAAACCAGCTCACCTGAAAGCCTTCAAGAGGAGTGTCGTAGTGTTGCGGATGGTTTACTCGCTCCTTGATGATATCTCGAAGATGTTTTGCATAAACACTCATGAAATCCACTCGTGTAGGTGTCGTTCTAAGCAACGTCGACACTTTTGTCACCCTATTCGCATATTTAAACGCTGCTTTATCGCATATTTCTTCCACCTCAACCGACGTTAACCCTCCTTTCTTCGTAAAGAATTTTAGACCATTCCGTGTGTATGGCAAGTGAGACGCTGTCATCTACATCAAAAACACAAATTTCATTTCAAGAAAACATGACAAAAATACAAACTTTAGAACGAATAAAAGAAAACATATATGAACATTATAACCATTATGGAAGCATCGTATAAAAATGGTGGCAACATTGTGCTCATGAAACAAGCTGGTGTAGTTGCAAGTCCCATGTCATACGTCATACAACCAGCCCGACCCAGACCTGAAAATATGGCAACACTCAATAACCCACCCGATATTCGTGGGTCTCGCCCGAGAGAAACCCGAATGTCCTCCACTGGTCTTCCTTTCTCCTTCACCAATCCATTAATCACCCACTCTCCAAAACTCTCTGCAATGGCTTCCACTGCGGGTGGTGTAAGGTCAACCTGACGACCAACTTCTCCTTCCACAGCCACACCACGAACATCCGACCCGTTTTGAAGTCGTTTGATCCGACCCATTTCCTCGTCCAACCCGAGGTCATTATAGTTTGTAGTGGTTGAAGATTTGGTGGAAGTTAGGGTTAGTTTTGGAGGGATGGAGAATGGAAAAGTGAGGGTTTTGAGTGTAGATGAAGAGGGAAAGTTGTGATTAATGGGGGTAATGTTATTTAGAGAAGTTGAGGGGGGTAATGTGTATGACATTGTATTTTGTTTTTGTGAAGAAAAAAAATGCTAGGGTTGCAAGGTTTCAAGATTTGGAAGAGATGAAGTTTACACCAATCAAGAAATAAGGGAAGATAAGATTATTTCCGTTGTAACTCAATGTACACCATAACCTCATTGTGCAATATCCTTATTACGACAAGAAAAATATCTCTTAACAAAATTCCAATTTTTCAAGGGCTTTTTGGTAATTTCCTTATCTGTATAAGGTAGTAGTGTAGAGAAATTAACGATTACGTGAGTTCCTTGTCTAGAAACCGTGAAAAAACTAATAATACATCGGCCCAAACTAACTTGGTGTCGACAATGGAGTATTTGTCAAACTACCTTATTATGTTTTTGTAAATCTATGTGAAGTAAGCCATGTATGATTTTTATAAAAGATTAAAATAATTTAAAACTGAAACGGATTAAAAACAATAATAAAATAATATAAAACAAAATAACGAAGCAAAATGCATGTTTATGACTTTATGTGGCTACAATTCTAGACGGAAGCAAGACGCAAACGAATTGACAGGGTGGGGCCAACCTACCTTATATTTTTAGAGCACATAAATAATAAATAATAATAATAATAATAATAATAATAATAATAAGACAAACCAAGAAAAAAAAACGTTTTTTTTTATAAGTTAACGAAATAATTACCAGGTGATAAATTAAAGACAAAACTCAAATTTAGTACTTGTGGTATTCAAAATTTTTTGAATGTGGTTCAAAAAACTTTCGGGGTTGCATGGAAGGTCCAAAATCAAAACATTTCTTTGATTTTGGTCCAAAAAAACTTGAAAAGATGATTATATCATTTTTTATTTTCTTTTTTGTATTTTTTTATATTTTCTTTCATAACTTATTAATCAAAAATTAAAAATAAAGAATTGGGCCCACCCCCACCCCTACCGATACTTTCTCTCTCTCTCTCTCTCTCTCTCTCTCTCTCTCTCTCTCTCTCTCTCTCCAGATCTTGTATGAATGGATGAATGAAAGGGTTGTTGATTTCTTAAGATAATCAACATTTTGAATAATCTTCTCGATTTAAGCATATACTGAAGAGGTGTAAAGTTAGGTCTTCGATTTTAATAGAGGGAGAAAGGGATGAAAGGGTGTCCGTCTTCACCAGAAAGATCTTCAGATCCTCAGTCGAAACCTGATGCTGCTGCCCTTCTCGTTTGCATTTATGCTTCAAGCTGTTGATAATGGTTTTCATTCAAGATCTGGATTAAGAATCAATCGCTGAAAACACTTGCAATCAATCGCTGCCGCCATTTCGAAGAATGTTAGAGTTTCAAACGATGATGTCTTCAAATCTATGTCTAACCCTAATCAAAATCCATCTCCACAACCGAGATCTGAAGACGAAATGAGATATAAAGGCAAAATATCAATTTCTAGAGTGTATACGTCTGTTCATGTTTGAAGGCAAGAAATCTATTTCTTTCCCCTGAATTCTGGTATTTGTGTATTAGCTATGAGATGAACACAATATCTTCATCTTTATATTTCCCATGATCTCTTCATCTTCATCTAGTTCCCATATATTCATCTTGTTCAGCCTTATATGTATGTGTATGAATAAGGAAGAGAGAGAAAGTGAGAGAGTGTATCAATCTGGTTTAAACCTTCATCAGATGGTAGTGGTGATATTCCGTGTTTTTTTTTTCTTCTGAAAATCAGAATGATGAAGATGGGTTTTGTGGAGAGAGAGAGAGAGAGAGAAAGAGAGAGAGAGAGAGAGAGAGAAAAGAGAGAGAGAGAGACTGTGGGTAGGGTGTGGGATATTTTTTCCCTTTTTTCTTTATTTTTTAATTAGAATATATTAAAATAATTATAAAAAATACAAAAAAGAAAATAAAAGGGCATAATCCTCTTTTCAAATTATTTTGGACCAAAATCACGGAAATGTTTTGATTTTGGACCTTCCATGCAAATGAGAAAGTTTTTGGACCCAATCCAAAGTTTTTTGAATACCATAGGAACTAAATTTACAGTTTTGTCTAAATTAAATATAATTTTTGATTTTGAAAATTTTATAACATCTTTCAAAATAATATCATTTAATAGCTGTTATAGAGAGCTCATATATTAATAAAATTAAATATGGTTCTTGATTTCAATTACTTTTGTGGTTATAATTAACTAATTTATAAATTATGTATTTAATTTTTATGTAAGATAACGTAATGTAATTTATAAAGTTATATTATTTTAAACTATTATTATTGTTAATGGTTACGATTTAAAAAACTATTTATTTGAAAATAAATAATTATAAAAAAGTAGGTTTTTATTTTTATTTATTCAACTTGTCGATTTAGTTTTACATATAGGAAAGTTAAACTTTTTAAACTATTTTAAAAAATAATTTTTAAATTATTTCATATTTAATAACACATGGAAACTAATATATATATATATATATATATATATATATATATTATATATATATATATATATATATATATATATTAAATATGAAGACGCATTGTGCATAGTAATTATGTTATTAATATTAACAATGAAATAATATTTTATTATACTAATTTGTTATGTAAAGTTGTAATGATTTGAACAATGTTATAACACTATTTAAATTATAGGGATAATGACTTGAAAGGGTAACGAATTTTCGACTTTTGTCACATTTAGTCACTAAACTTTTTTTCGTTATCTATTTGCCATTGAACTACTGAAACTGTTCACATTTTACCCTTATGACCGGCTATTATCGGTCATAAGGGTAAAATGTGAACAATTTCAGTAGTTTAGTGACAAATAGATAACAAAAAAAAGTTTAGTGACTAGATATGAACAAAATCGAAAGTTTGTTTCCCTCTAAAAAGTTCAATGACTAAATGTGAACAAACTTTCTATTGTATTATGTTTTAGCAAAATTATTTATTTTTGTTTAATTGTATCAACATTTGTTGATGAATAAATCTATGAAATAAAAAAAACAAAATGTAACATCCGGATTTTTAGGTATCATAATTTAAGTATTTTTCTTTTGAGTTAAGAAGAGAGACTCGACGAGTTGACGCCTCAACTCGTCGAGTAAGGTCGCGACTGATGACTCGGATTAATGAATGGACTCGACAAGTCGGTGAAGCGACTCGACGAGTCCGCGCTGTCGGCAAAAACCCTATATAGCTACTTTCATCTTATACATAGATATGAGTATTTTATATAAATTACGTGCTATGTGTACATATTATTTGAATACTTGTTGTTTATGCTGGATGAACGATTTTATACATGTTTTAAAAGATTTAAACGGTATATTTATTTTATATCTACAAATATGTTACAGATGAAACATGGGTAGATGAAATAGTTTATGTGTGATGAAATAAAATGATGAGAGATATAGGTGATGATAGAAAGGTGATAATAATTAGGTAAATAGATGATGATGAATATGTGATATAAGATGAAAAGAGATATCATAACCTTAACCATCAATGTGGCGATGTAATCATCTACCAGAGTATATAGATGGCGACCACGGACTATTCTAGACAACCTAGTGGAAACACCAGCAGACCCACAACCTGTAGGTGATGAATTACGAGTTCAGACGATGTTGTAACTACGTATTCATGCGATGATACTCTAACCCCTTACTATGAATTACAAGTTCAGACGATGTTGTAACTACATATTCATGGGATGTCACAAATTTCGCATGTCCATCCAATGGTCATAATTCACATCAGTGAGAATGGTTCATTTTTTTGTAAAACCAAAATCATATTGAAATTTTGATTTTTTATTTTGAAAATGTCAAACCATTGGTTTTTTATTTCGGTTTTGGTTTTTTGTTTTTTTTTAAAATATTTTTCAGGGTTTTGTTTGTTTTTTTTTTTATTTCATAGATTTCTTCATCAATAAATGTTGCTACAAATTAACAAAAATAAATAATTTGTTAAAACATAATACAAGAGGAAGTTTGTTCACATTTAGTCATTGAACTTCTTAGAGGGAAACGAACTTTCGATTTTGTTCATATTTAGTAACTAAACTTTTTTTTTTTCGTTATCTATTTGCCATTGAATTATTGAAACTGTTCACATTTTACCCTTATGACCGGCAACAGCCGGTCATAAACATAAAATGTGAACAGTTTCAATAGTTCAATGGCAAATAGATAACGAAAAAAAATTAATGACTAAATGTGATAAAAATCGAAAATTCATTACCCTTTCAAGTCATTATCCCTAAATTATATTATTTAATAGTCGATACTCAACTTCTCGTAGCTGATCTATGAATAAAATTAAAGATAATTCTTAATTATGTTACTTTTAACATTATGATTAACTAATTTCGAAACTAATTGTTTGATTTTTTGTAAGGTGACAAAATGAAATTTATAAGGCTATGTAATTTTTAACTATTATTATTGTTAATATCTATGATTTAAAAACCATTTATTTGAAAAAAAATCAGTTATTATAAAAAATTAGTTTGGATTTTTAGTTAAGTTGACATGGCAATTTAGTTTTATATTTAAAAAAGTTTAGTGCTTTAAACTATTTTAACAAAATAATCTTTGAATATTAATATTTCACATTTAATAACACATGAAATATATATATATATATATATATATATATATATATATATATATATATATATATATATATATATATATATATATACTGTAACACCTTTAGATTTGAGGGACAAATAATCTTAACAAAAATTATAGTATATGTAAGAAGTATTCTATAAATGTAACGAACGCTGAAATCCGACTAATAACGAAGAAGTTAGGCCTTTTTGATCCATAAAAATGGTTGCTTGATCATTTTCTTTGGCCCATGCGCGAGTAAAGTGACTTAGAGTGTAATGGAAGTTAAAGTTTTTCGCATTGGGTCCTTTCTAGCCATGCAAAGGCTTAAGTCGATGAATTTATGGGTTAAGACACCCTAGGATGGTCAGATCTGAAAATTAGTATAGGTGTCTTAACGGATTACGAAATGAAAGTTGATGAAGTTGGATCAGGCAGAGTACATTGGGCATACTCCTGGCTACACCCCATGTAGCCAGTCCTATCCCTGATTAGCCGTTGACTGAGTAGTACACTTCGTGTAAGAAAGAGTATACGTAGCATACATGTTGGGCATTCGACTTTCGTTGACTTTTGACCTTTGGTCAAGATTTAGGGTTTTAGACCATGCGAAGTTGCCCTTAAGCTACTTAGTAGTGGGATTCGGAATCACGAGTTGAGTTATGGACCTTAATTATTAATTACTGTTGGTTATTATGTTGATTAGGCGGAGTCTAGTTTTGGCAGTTCGAGTGAGAGATTTAGTTGTCATTAGTATGAGGTTAGTTTCCTCACTTATGCTTACCTTTTTGGTAGAATAACTGTATTTGTGGTGACCAGTAAGGTCTAACTGATATCTTACATTA